TGCATGATATATTCTAGAACATAATTTAGTGTGTCTTGATTTGAAGTTTATCTAGATCTACAATATTTTTGTTTTCTGTAAATGCTGAGACGCGTGTAAAATTTCGCTAACTTTTCACTTCATTATTCTGTTTGCATTTTTCACTGAAATATTAATTTGCTTTACCTGAAACTTTAAGTGTTATACAAAAGCTTTAAAATAAGTTTTACTAATTCTAACTGCAACTTTGTCTGTGATCAAAGAAGTTTGAGAAACAAGGCACTTTATTGGGAGAAGTACTCTTTCAATGAAAGCAGGAGATTATGAGTTCAATTTCAAATTTAAAAAAAAAATTTTGAAAAATTAAAAAAGCATCTGGGAGAGATACGCATTTGGAGAGTTTCAATTCCTTAAATCGTAGAGAACAATCCTATATTGTGGTGTGGACATTATACGGATCAATTGAATTAAGAATTTAAAAATACAAGACCCTTTAAGGACTATACTGTGCTAAACTCAAACGATATTATGTATTCAAATTAGCAAAATAAAGCTGTGCTATAAACTAGATTTGGAGCAAAAATAAAAGTATGAAAGTGGCAAAATAAAACGAAAAGTCATTGAACAAGTATTTTCATGGAAAAAGGTATATTATTCTGTCTGAGTATATGAATATAATGTGTAGTATAATGACATAACAGTTGAAACTAGCTATATTGCTCCAAATGTAAGAGACAACCACCATTCTAGATAAACTGGTCTAACAGTGCTATAAACAAAGATTGGCAGCAAAGACTTTTACTTATTCCGGACACGAACCTGCTATCTTAGTGACTGCCTTCGCAACCTCCACGAGAAATATTGTTTTATTTAAACCTATTCTGAATTAAAGAGAACTGAATAAAACTTTTTGAACAAATCAAAAATTATAATGAAACAATATACAACGAATAAATTTTTTGAGTAATAATTTAAAATTTTCATGAATGAATACTTTTATGTATAGATATTATCACAAATGTATCATAATTAGGGATAGTTTTCGTATTTATTTTTTTATATTATTTATTTAGTTTTTAATTAACCTATACGTAACTTAATGATTTAAAATGACCCACAGTGCTTCACACAAAACTAAAAATAGAATTTCGCAGTTTTTAAATTTCTTATAAAATGTTGTAGATTTGAGTATTTATTTGCGCTGGATATCCAGTTTAAGATGTTTATTTAAGATACGATTGTAGACGTACTCCAAGTAAAATTACGGAAGAAAAAAATTATCGTTTACTTCGATAAGAATGTTCTGTCAGAGGCGTGAGCACTATATTCTGCTCTTATTGGTCAATTATTTGTTTATAAAATTAGTTCATATGAGGTGGAACTAAAACAATCCTTGAAAAGCCGTAATTGTAGAATTACAGTTTTCTTTTTCAAAAGGTTATACAATTTTCTTTTTGAATTATTTATGACAATAATTATTTGCTTTGAAAATCAGATAATCTCAGAATTTAGGAGCATTTTGTAATACTTTGTTCTGGGCGGTCGTTGAAAAAATAAATTTTTGTAGTTTACTACTACTACTCTTTACAAATGCAGTCAACTACAATTACTTTTCTTTTAAAATGAAGTCACTACAAGCTACTATCGAAATGTAATAAATAATTCTCGACTTTAGGAGACGAATTTTGCTGGAGAACTTAACTTATACCCATGTTCAAAATGGTTTTGATCGAAAAATTGGTACATGAAACATGAAGAATTATCACGAAATATTTACTCATTTTTATATGAGCCAATTTGTCATTGAATAATATTTTTTCGAATTCCTTCACTTAACCTTTAACTTTTTATGCCTTTCTCGATATCGAAAATTTAATTTAAAAGATGCTAGGAAATTATCAAATATTAGCATTTTTGTAAAGCTCTTCATGCCTTTTTATTTCGGCTAAGAAATTAAGAAAATCGAAAATATGCTCCCTGCCCGTGAAATAGCATCAATGTTTAATGAGTGTACATTGACGTGTGATTCGTAATGGCTAATTTAAATATTAGTTATGCTTGATTCGTACGTTATACGTAATTCTTGTTAACGCTCAGCAACAAACACAGGGGCGTTTTCACTGCGACCATTGATGAACCTGTAAAAATTTTTGCCCATCATATTCGAACAATTATTTGCAGAAGAACCACATTGCTTCTTTACTAAACTAATATTAAAAAAAGTGACCAGAAATTGTTACAAACTACTGGGTTTTTTTCTTGGTATATCACTTCTCACTACACTTAAGTAGTATACTAAACTACAAGCTACGGAAAGAGTAGCGACTACAGTAGTTTCACAACTTGTAGTGTGATACTTCCGATCATTGATCATGGAACGTAGTTGTCCATCATTTATGAAGTAAAAAAATTACATATCATTTATTGATTACTTCAGTAACACTTATAAATTTAGGCTGAATGTAGAGTTTAATGAAATAAGCACTGGAAGTGTCTATACTGTGATAAGGGTAAATGTTCAATCCAATTTAAAAGAGTTAAAAAAAATTCCAATTGATTATTTACTAGAATTTGTTATATTTTCAAACACAATATTTCATTCAAACTTAATCCTCAGATGTTATTTAAGGTTAATAAAATTTAAAAAATCAAAACAGTACCGACTATATCTTATTTCTATGAAATTAAAAAATAAAGATTGCTTTTAACCATCTAATTGTTACTTTCTATAAAATTTGATGTCTTAAGGAAGTAAAAAATTTTTATAAAGTTAAGATTTTAATATTTAGTAATAATGAATTATCATTCAGAATACTATTCTAGTTTTTCAAATAATTTAATAGGGAATTTTTAACAACTTAATTCTTTAAATTTACTTTAGTTAACAATATTATAAAACTAACATGAACAAATTGAATGGCTCTTAAAAAATATTTTCTTTCAAAAGATTTTTTTATCTAGTTCTAATATAGCAACGATTAGCATTTTAAGAAATATTATTCATGACAAACTGATTGTTTTAGACTTATAAATCTCAGTAATAAAGAATCAATTATATCAATATTAAATTAAATTTCTTTTTAAAAAGAAAACTTTTTAGAATAAAATTCTATTTTTTGTTTCTGATTCAATTTAGTAGCACAGCTAATATTATTTTGTATTGTAATACATTTAAAACAATTAAGGTATTTAAAGATAAATGCTACATTTTATATATAATAATAGAATAAACAGCACAAAATATCTGTTTATAAAGTTAAAATGAATAATTTATTAGTATTTTCTTATACTTTTAAGTTATGTATTTTAACAGCAATGTTATCAAAATTTAATCGAAAAAAGTGTTTTTATGTCAACAAAAAGTTTTTCCAGTTTGTTCTATAATTTATTATATAATTTTCCATAAAGTAGAAAGAGCATTAGATATTGCATTTATTTTTCTAATGTATATATCATACTTTAAAGAGTTTATCAGCAAAGTTGAAAATCTTTGTTTAATCTTTTTCTTTACTAGTATATACTAACTTAATAGTAGTGATTCAGAAATTTCAATTGATAAAAATCACAATAAGTTACGTCAATTGAATCATCCTTATAATAGATATTTTTCCATCAAGTACTTTTCAGAAGATTATAGATAATTATCATTCTACTATTTCAATTTAAGCTGATGAGGCTGCAAGTTAAATATGAAAATTGACGTATTTCGACTTTTTCGATTATTATGGTAAAGGAAAAAAAAATCTAACAAAGCGTTAGATATTATTCTAATTTATTAATTTTTGTCATTAATTTATTTTTAATCATTAATTTATTTTTAATCATTAATTTATTTTTAATCATTAATTAACTTATTTTTAATCATTAATTTATTTATTTTTAATCAATAATTTATTAAATTTCGTTATAGATATTTATCAAAATTTTAACACCCGCAAACTTAATGAAATTAATGTATGAAAACTAAAATCAAAACTATAATTGTGTATAATATTCTTTTATTATAATTATTATTAATTTTATTATAATAATTATATTTAAAAATATATATATCATCAATCATGTGAATATATTAACATTAAATTCTAAAAATATTAAAATTTAAGCAAATATTATCTCTGAAAAATAACTTTTTTTTACAAGTTTTTTTTTAAAATTTTAAAGATGGCTCTAAAAATTTAAAATATTTTTCAATTTCCATGTCTTTGAAGTGATATATATTTGAATACATTTCTAATTTAAACTGTAATGCTATTTATATTTTAAGTTCGCATTTCGTTTTGGTACTATTTTAAAAGAATATTAAAATTAACATTAGCGGTCTCCTAGATATTATTGAAGTAATTATTATACTAATTTTTAAACAGTCTTAATTTCAAAGTCATTGAAAAATAGTGTATTTATATAGGTTTTTAATTTTAACTGTTTGTTCTTACGACAATTTAAGTATATATTTGATATAAATATAAATTCAAAACAATATTAAAATCAAGTGTCATATTCTCCTTCTCTTAAATATCATTTAATAGATTCTGTTATGGATTTATTTATATTATTTAATAAATTTAGGAATAAAAAAATGGCATTAGAAACTGATATTAATTTGTAAATAACTTATTTTTAATTAAACTAAGAAAATTATTATGATTGAATTTTTAAACAATCCTAATTTCAAAGTAATTGAAAATAAATACATTCAAATAGATTTTCAATTTAAAATGTTTATTGTTATTAAACTTTATGCACACATTTGAAATTAGTATAAATTCAAAATAATATTAAAATTAACTGTAGCATTCTGCGAAATATTTATTGAATTTATTTTGTGATTGATTTACTAGTATTATTTAAAATGATTTACAAGTATTATTTTTACAAAAAAATCGATATAAAGAGAGTTGCATTATAAGTTAGTATTACATTATTTTGATAAATCGGAACAAATAAATTTTAATGGTAAAATTAAATAATAGCCGGCAAATTTTTTTATGCAATATACTTTAAAAAAATTAAAATCTTACTTTTATTCTCTTGGCTTTAACCTTTACAAAATGCCTTAAGTGAAGATCCAAAATATCAGACATTTTTTACCAATCCTTGTCGACTTCGTAAAAAGCATATGTAAACAATAAACAAATTTTCAACGTTGGTCAACACAGAACATAAAGAAGCATATAATTGGAGACATATTATAAGACTTCAAAGTTTCAAGCTCATTTTGAATTGTGCAGCACAAGGCGAAAAGACCGATATTTTCGTTGCCCATCGCACGCAGCAAAAACGACCTCCGCATGAAAGTTACGTCATTAAATCGTAGTGTCGCCATCTATCGATGAGGAGAGACACTTTCTGATAAGCCCTCTAACAATAAATTTGCTTATGCAACTTAGCAACAGTATATGTTTTTTCATCACTTGTAGGGTCCACATTTTGCAATCAATAAAAAATATGTATATTTTTATCAGTCATTTGCGAGGTAATATTAGACTTTATCCTTTGTTTTCTGGGATTTTATTGCTTTATTTATTTTAATTTGTCCTGTTGCTAAATCCATTGTAACGCTTGAGGAGGGGGGAGGGAGTTCTATCAGAGTCTACAAAACAAAAACAAACCTTGCACTTTTTTATGTTTAGAGGCTATAAACAACTTTCTCCAGAATCAACGAAGAAAAAAAATTCATGATGCAAAACAATGCAGGGCATTTTGATAATAATTATTCTTAGTTTTTCTCAAATGATACATTTTTCCATGCTTATAAGAAATTTACTCATAAATATTTTGATTTATTTCTGATTAAAACTACTAACCTTTTTTTTTCTGGAGATTTAAAGAATTACATATTTAAGATTTCTTTCTAAAAAACTTTTTAAACAATTCAGGCATTGCAATGCCTTGCATATATAATTCACTACTGACACCCATTTTTCTGAAACATAAATTATTATCCTTACTTTAACATTTTGCACAAATCTGAAAAATGAAACTTTTTTTTCCTTCAAAAATAAAGCTAATAACACATATTTGGTTTAAATCCTTCACCAAATTATATAAAGTTTTTTCTTCCTTTTTTTTAACAACTGTAACTCTTAAAAAAACTATTATATACTATAAAACTTTAAATTTAAAAAAAATCCTACCTTTAACACGCAAGTCAGTCTCAAAATTATGAGGCTAAATTTTTATCACCAAGGAGTGACATTTTAAACGCTAAAAGTCCGTGTTATAGACGGTTGCCAAGGCCGATGATAAAATAATAAAAATAATCGTGTATAATCGCGTAATAATTTTTATTTTTCGCCTGAAACACTTTGTTAATGAATGTTAACATATTAATATTTATTTATCTTTTTTTTTTTTGCTCTAAAGTCTGATTTGAAAGTAGCTTGAGCAATAAGTGCTTAAAGTAGCAGTACTTAAAAAAGCCATATTAAGTTTGTTCAATTATTTACTGAATATTTAAATTGTATTCAGTAAATGCACTTAGCGACTGCTTTATCATAACTGCAACATGAGCATCGATTTTAAATGTATCACTTCACGTTCATATGCCTCTTTCCTTGCATCCGAACTCAGCGGTCGGAAGACCGTTGAGTTCTGATGCAAGGAAAAGGAATTCCAATTAAGTATTTAATAATTTTCATTCAGTTTTCAGAAATAAACTGATGTTGAATGTAGTGGAAGGTGGTCCTCACCCAATTGGAATGAGAGAAATATAACAGGCGCAATTCTGGAATTTTAACTTATTCTTCCTTATAAAAGTATACAAATTGCAATAAATTACATATTCCTCTTCACTCCGACTCGGAGCATAGGGCTTCCACCATCTCACTCTATTAGTGGCCAGATATTTTGCCTCTCTTCATATCTTTCCTATTGTTTTCAATTCGCTCACAATTGTCCTTAGGAATTCGTATGCTTTTAGAAAATGAAAGTATACGAGTATACTGTTCTGAAATCAGCATTTTTTGAACGGAATTTTAATATCGTTCATTTTTCTGTTTTTAGATTTTTTTTTTAATAAAAAGAATTTTCTTAGCATTACCCAAAGCTGTTTTTTTTAAGTTTAAACAATGAAAAATTCATTTTTTTTTAAATTATAAAAACAGACTGACCAAAAACAGATTAAAACAAAAAGAGAACATGTTAATAACGTTTGTTCTAATTTTTGGATTTTCGTGTAATAACCTTAAATATTCTAATTGTGTTGAAAATATTTTAAATTAAGATATCAGGCATAAAATATATAGAAGATAGAAGGCTCTATCAACCTTATCCTACTAATGTATAAAAAGGTTCGAGATCTGGAGATAGAGGGGACCGAGGAAACAAAATAAAATTTCCATTTTCCTCAAACAAATCTATATAATGTTTATATGTATGTATGTACTTTATACAAATGCGCAATTCTGAACTAATCCTCTCTAAATTTGGTGAAAGCAGACACAGCGGACCTAGCTGTCTACTTTAAGACTCCATTCCAACCACCGGTTCATGCACTACACGCCAAAGAAAGAATTTCCCATAGGATTTGATAAATATTTTATAATATGAGTGATTTGATAACTTGCAGCTCTAAGTAATCAAAAATTAGTTTTATCTCAAGTTTTTGCTGAATTACTTATCTTTGATTTTCTATGTTAGGTTATCACAAGTAAAATCGATGTTACTAATTACACCACATACAGTGATGACTTCACCGAATATGGATTTTAAAGGGAATAGGAAATCACGTGTTTCTTATGTACTTAAATAATGGAAACCAAACAGGAACTAATGAAGGAAATTTGAAATTATATATTAAGTCATGGGAATTGTAGTAAATTCTGAATTAGTTTAATTCTGTACAAATGAATATATGTAATTTAATACTATTCATTGAATAATTATACAAATATCATTTTAAGTTCATTGAATAATCATCGATTCATTGAATTATAAAAATTGATACAAGTATCAATTTTTATTTTGGGGAGTAGAGCTTCTAAATCATATTATGTTATATCCAATAGTATAAAACTGTACCGTTATATATTACAAACAAAGAGAAAAAATATTTTGTATATTATAAGCCTTGAATAGGATACATATCCGTTTCAGGGAATGATAAAAAACCTATTACCTATATTGGGCAACTAAGTTGGTATAATAGGTTTTCATAACACAGTATTTATAACGGCAAGACCAATAGTATTCAACACCAAATTTATTGTTTTTATGTTGCACTTGTCCATTAGAGGCAACTTTGTTACGTAATAGTTCAGGCGTATAGAACTATTAAATGACACTCAGTGTAAGTGTAAGGAAATAATTCAGTATGTGAAAGTAAGTAAAAAAATTTAGAGTTTGCTAAATTTATTAATTTATTAAAACCACGTGTACGCATAATAAAAGATTTTCACCATAACGATACAGTTTCTAAGATTGAACTTTGTTGTGCCCTTTGTTCGGGTTAGACGATTTTTTTTTCTGCTGTTTATGCGATAAATTCCGTAAAAATGACAGATAATAATAAATGTTTCCAAGGTCAATAATTTAAGTGCGAAAATGAAACTATCTATCTAAGGATATAATAGATAAATAAAGGGACTCGATTTAGCGATAGTTATGTGTTCTTCAGTTTAAAGTAATGAGCAACACGCTTTTTTTATTTATTAAAAAACGTGAATAAAAAAAATTTTGAAAACTTGAGTTACTTTAATTTTTGTTTATAATGAAGAGTTATTATAAATTTATGAATACAATTTGAATAACTTTTTCCAAAATGTATTACGTTTTTTTTATTTCAAATCGCTGAGGTAAAAGAAGAGCACTGCAACACTAAATGTAAGGAAAACAAACGAACGAAAGAGATATGCAACAGAAAAAGAAGAATATAAAATACAAAAGGCATTCGGAGGTGTTAGGTTAAAAATTGTTTGGTTATTGATTGTTGGTATTTTTTTAACAAAACACAATCGATAGAGAATGTACTAACCAATGATAACCATAAAGAGTAATTAAAATAGAAAAATAGAACTAAATTAAATAGTTTTATGGAAGATGCCACAGTAAATTTACAGTTACAATACTCAAAGAAAACCAAATCGATTTTATTTCTAAATTTACTTTAAAAAAATACTTCCGTATCTCAAATTTTCTCACTTTTGTCTAGTTTGCGAAGTTGAATCCAATTCTAATACTTTTCAAGCTAATCGCAATTCACAATTAATCTAATTTTTAAACTTTAAGTAAATATTTTTAAATATTTATTTTTTTACTTAAAAGGGAACATGTAACGGAACAAAAAATCTGATACTCGGTAATTTTTACAGTAAAAATTACGTAAAATCTCTGAATCACTCTAATTAAGAAATATTAACGTAAAAACTACGGTATAATATTTTACGGTGATTTTACGATAATATGAATATCACGGATGATGCACCCAAAGTGACAGTACCGTAATTAGATCCGGAATTTCTACTGTGTAGTAGTTGTGTTACACATGATTATTTCCATGCTTTATGATATTTATCATATTAAATAACATGAACATATGAAGGTTTTTTAATTAAAATTTTTTTCGTTTAAATTTAATTAAGGACAAAAAAATATAAAATGAAGCAACTAAAGTTAATTTGAAAAATATATCTAAATGAAACCTTATTTTACACATAATATTTACTTTTCCGCTTATAATTTATTTTAAAAGTTCATAAAGTTCATATATAGACATAGATATATATTTTTATAATGATAAAATTTCCTAATAGTTAATAACTTAAATTAAATTAGAAAATAAAACAAGAACATTGAAATAAACCCTTTGTTTTAAATAATACCTCAGCTATATAAACATAAATAAACCAATTATCTAATAATTATCTTTAAATTTTAGTTTTTTAATCAATAAAAAGATATACAGAAATTTCTAAAAACAGATAAGCGAAAACATTAGAAATAATCAAAACACATTGTGAAATTTTCTTTACTGATTTAAGTGAGAAAAAAATTGCTGCAAAAAATATGTAATCAGTATGTAATATGAATATAAATCAATAGATATAGTAATTTGAAACAGATTTTGAAAACTTCTTTAATCTAGTAATATAGTTATAAAATATGAATAACTCAAAGTTCAATTTTTTGTGGTGGAAATCACAGCAGGTGGTTTAAACTGTCCTGCACTAAATAATTTTTTTTCTTCACATTTTTGAACTGGTCAGTAAAGAACTGGTAAGGTTAAAACAATTAATGTATTTAAATTATAGAAAGGGCATTGGAATTGAAAAAAA